TTAAAATAATAACATTTGATGTTGATATATATTAAATTGAAAGTTGGAGAAATCCGTTTTTTTAGCAGTCAGTCTAATTAAACAAACTAAATTTTGGAAAGAAAAATATTATCTTGAAATCGCCATTTTATCCTAAAAGTAATTTTAGAACCAAATATAAAGTTATAATGATGTGATATATAGGCCAATGAAATCAACCTAGGATAATTTATTTATTTTTAGGATCATTCATTTAAAGGCATATTTTCCATTTCTGATAGAAGAAATGTCAGCAGATCACTTCTACTAGGACTGTATTAGAGAAACAACTGTATTTTGCCTTTACTGTTTCTGTCAGTGTTACTTGCCTACCAAACCCTGTTTGTTAGTGACAAGAGGACTGGGTGAAAGTTATTAACATGGGGTTCTTGGTGCTCTTTGAGCTCAGAGACCCTGGGTTACAGATAGAAGAGATTATTGAAAAGTGATTAAATAAATCACACAACTGTCTGCTTAAAATTAAAATAGAACAATGAAGTGATGGTTGTTTCACAGAGCAGACTGGATGAGTAGCACATTGCTAGTATTATATATGGTACTTGGAATTAAAGTCCTACTGTGTTAAATGAAACTTATTCCTAAGGAAATGTTCTGTGGATTGCTATCTGAACTTCCACTTGTCTGTATCTTAGCTTTATATAGATTTACACGTTCTTGAAATCAATAAGCCTAATCTATAACCTTCATTTGTTTTGCTATGAAGGAGCATCTTATGATTACGCTGATCATGTTTCATCCATTTTATTGTCATTCATAACATGTATTTTATTAGCATACCTTGTAATTAGTTTATTCCAGAGTCATGAAGACATGTTCTATCAATAAATGTTTGTTGATTGATGTGTTTGGATAGTTACCAGTATGAGGTCTCTTTTCTTTATAAAATTAGATGAGATTTAAAGAAAGGGATTTTAAATATTATTTGCAAAAGGAATCTCAAATTTTAGCCATCCAGGATTAAAGTCTTAACATGCTAAAGAACAAGATTAAATAGAGATTTCTTATTTCACTCAGATATAAGTGTAATGTATATAAAATAAGTACTGTTTTGATGGGATATATTCAAACCATGAGTCATAAATATTAGAAACCATAGTTTAGAAATTACTTGTTTCATATACTATTGATTTAAGTCACTAGCTAGTTTTTATGAAATTTCCATGCCTTGACTATAATTTTCAGCACTTTCTTGAGTGCCTTTAGCAGCTTCCCAGATATTCTGCATAGAATTAAATAACAGTACTTAACCACGATCAATAACTTAAGATCAGTACAATCACTCTTGTTTTAATGACCTTAGTAGCTATGGGTAATAAAGTGTGAACTGTAATAGCCCATTGCTGCTATCACATTCTCTTTGAATCCTAGTAGTATTAGGGACTAGTGACATGAATAAGTGGGATATTTGGAAATTAAGAAATTAGATATCCAAATGTATTTATTTAAAACTTAGTCTAGGTAATTGCCTTGTGTTTTGGAAGCGGGGTGTGGATACAGTTCCTTCCACCACTTTACCCTTGAAGTGGGCAAGAGAAGAAGCAGGAATAGTGAAGAAGACCAGAGTTGCTGAAGTTGACGCAAATGGCACTGTTCTCTTGGACAACAGCCACTTCCAACATTTTGTGAAGCCATTCCTTAGTCCTGCTTCCATTGTCCTTTCTCCTTAGGACCTAACGGGGCTAATCCAGAGGAAGAGGAGCAGTTCAGGAGCTGCTAACACTTGTTGCTGGCCCAGGAAATTTATTTATTTATTATTATTTTTCCCCACCAGCACGGCAAGGGAGAGGCAAGACCATTTGGTTTCCTTATTCATGTCTCAGGTCTTTTTAGTCATAATCCTGGGCTAAACTTGCAATGGTTGCTAACAACTGGTAAATATGGTTTCAGTCCACTACCTGTTTGTTGTCACAACCTCAGGAAAAGAGATCTGCCAATTATGTATGACTTTTTTTGAGATATAGATCTTGTTATCATCTAAAGCAAAAAAAAAAAAAAAAAAGTTGTGATTGCCAGAAATGGAAAGAGTAGAGTAGTAAAACTCTTTCTTCTTGTAGGACACTAAAATGCTTTTCCCTTTGAGTTTCAAAAACTTATGATAGCATTGTGGAGTAGATAATCTGTAGGAAAGGAAACATTCATTTCCTTAACTTATGACAAGTCTATTATTCTTCATGTCATACCCAGAGTTGCATTAAAGAATGTTGGGTAGAAGACAAAAAAACAAAAACAAAACCATTATATATACTTCCATCCTAAATATGCAAATAAAATTGATTTATACATCAATCAGAAGTAACATTTAAAAAAAAATCCAGAAATGTTTGCTTTTGTATATCTAAATCCATCATTAAGAAAATATAATTACAAAAATTTCTTTATAAAAGAAAATGATGAAGTTAAGAAATAGTGCACAATATTTTAATTCTAACCCAGTGAAAATATTGAAGGACAAATATGAAGTACAGACAGATTCAGTCAAATATTTTTAACAGAAGTCTACAAAATCAAAAGTGTAATCATGTGATCTCTGTCTTTCTATGGAGTTAGGTTTTTTTTTTAAGTACTTACTTGAAACTACCCTGTCTGATGTTAGAATTAGTGTTATTGGTTTGGATCCAGATTAACCTGCATGTAACTGAACTAATTTTTAATGGACGTGTCCCACAACCTAGCTCACTCTGCATAAATTGGATGCAGCATTTGTGATATGTTGAAGAGTCTAGTGATTGCAGGAGACTGAAAGAAAGCTTGTTTCTGCCAGCCCAGTAAATGTGTCAAATCAGCATCTAATCTATTTCTTCTGTTTGTTTATTTATGCTCTTGTTCTTTTCTTTGTTTCAATATTATCAGTCTGTCTCTATATATGTCTTCCGCTTGTTACTTGAATGGAAATCAATAAGACAATGATTTAAGGAATTAACAGTCTCTCTATCTCAGCGCTTGCCATTGATACTTAACCATTCTATACCTATATTTCAATGCTCTAGTTTGGATTTGGTTCTTGTCACCATTAATTCTTTGGAATTTTAGTATCCATTTCCTAAAATTTGTGTCTAGTGGATTGTGCTGTAATTTTATAGGAGAGAAAAATTCAATTTGTAAGCATTGCAATTAATTGTCAGTACAGAAGTGTGCGTAACATAAAATATTTCCAATTTTCAGGTAAATTCAAATGTGATGGCTTTGAGACACATTTGTTTTCATACAGTCCATAGGTGATATAGGTGCTTCAGGTTACTTTACATTGCAACACATCTCCTGGTAATCCTAACTGATATAACAATGTTGCTGACACTTGCTGGCCTAGTGTCTTGTATTATGTTAATGAGGGGTCAAAGGGTATAATTGTATCAAACAGATGCAGTAAACATTGTTTCTAAAATAGTAAATACATAACCTCACTGCACGGTATTTGCTGTACATAAATCTGACCTTCAGAAACTATTTTTTTTTAGTTCATCAAAATTAGCGGTGCTGAGAAATCGGTACATCAGTGCATAATGACTGTGAAATTAGGAATGAGAATTTGCTAAGCAAATGATAGGACAAATCATGTGAAAAAGAAAAACTGCATATTAAGACATTGTGTTACATAAAATTAATACGGCATTTCTTTCTTGCTTACTAGTCCCCTGAAATATTTTTTTAAAGCCTTTTTTATCTCCCGAGCAGCTATTGTCTGCTGATTTTTTCAAACAAGTGCTGCATAAAAATGTTCAAAACATGTTATTACCTTTCATTGCAGTCTATGAGATGACAGCAAATTCTTTTTAACTAAGTATATCCTTTTACGGCTTTTAATTTTTTGCTGTCACCTATTTGAGCTGAAACTAAAGGGAAGTATTATGCATAAATATTACTTATTCAGTCATGTGAGTTTTGTGCCCCCCTCAATTGTAACTCTTCTCCCCCCCCTTTTTTTTTATCTTTTCCTTTCTTTCGCTCTGTCTCTCTTTTTCTGGTGGGGTTTCTTATAAAATAGTTTTGTTGCATTACTGGAACTGACAAAATGGTTCTCATGTAGTCTGCAAATTAAACACAAGTGCAGTGATTATTTTGAATAGCTAAATTACATTCTAGAAAGCTTGCAGGATTCAGAGCATTGTCATTAGGTATCCGCTTGAATACAATTTGCGTAACCTTGGCCGAGACAGCCTGTCATTTTAATGTCAGTGTTTTATCTGAACAAGACATCATCCTTTCAGATAGAGTGTACAGGTTCGTTGCAAAGATGCCCGTGCAGAAACGTGTTAACAGTTGCAAATATGAAATGCTATCAAGTTCATCACTGTAGCTGTTTGTCACTGAAATGTCATGGAAAGCGGCTTTTAATGGTATCTCACATAATACGAAGGAATTGAAGCCATCTGTATGCTAGGTGAATGCGGAACGGTTGAGGCATCATCATAGGAGTTCCACTGCTAAAATTGCTGGGGAACAAGGTGTGTTTTCTGTATCGCTGAAATTGCATTAATTTGTTTCAAGTCATTAAGTTGAAACTCCCCAGTGGCCGCTTCTGAAGGGTCTTACTTGTTAATTAATGTAACATTTGTCAAAATTGATAGGCACCTCTAGAAGATGCGCAGATTAATAGCTTGATTTTCTCAGAACATAAAATCTATTTCTGTGGAATGGGTAGAAGACAAGCTTGTTTGGATGGAACAGTGTTTCCCTGAACTAAATCAGATGTGGTCATTTTTTTTTTTTTATCCCTTTGCTTGTCCTTTAAAATAAAAGCTATAGGGGAAAAAACATTTTGGGGTGACCTAACAATGCAGTTATTATACTTGCCTATTAAAAAAAAAAAAGCCCTCTTCTGACTGCAGCTCAAGTTCACTAAAGCAATTATTTTGACCGTGTAGAGGAGAAAGAGAAATTTAAAACGAAATATAACAAAACAATTCTCCCTTAACAGAAGGTTTGTTGAACTGCTTGTACTTTATGCTGTTTTCATATTTTAGGTTCCCGTGTCGGTGGCTATGATGACACCTCAAGTTATCACTCCCCAGCAAATGCAGCAGATCCTCCAGCAGCAAGTGCTAACTCCACAGCAACTTCAGGTCCTGCTCCAACAGCAGCAGGCACTCATGCTTCAACAGGTAACTTACTTTCTTTGGCAGCTGCTTAGCTAACCAACACTGCTATTGGAAAAGGAAGGCTGTTACACTGGTGCCATTTCCTATGTCAAGTATCTTCCTAAAATAAGAGATTGTTACATGTTTATATCCTGGCATTCATGAGAGAGGATGAAATTGCAACTCCCGGGATTCTCCACCAGCTAGGAATTCTAGTAATGACCATATTCCCAAAGAGATCTGTAGAGCATCAAGTTGAACGAAGTGCCATTCTTTCATATTCACTGTAGGAAATACACATCTGAACAATGGTGTTTATGTTAGTTGTAGTTCTGCAGGATCCAGTCTGGGTCAGTCACCGAGACCAGAGGTTTAGTCTTCCTAAATCTTTTTAGTCTTTAGGAAGACTAAACCTCTGGTCCCAGTGACTGATCCAGATCCAATTCTGCAACGTTATTCTGGGACACGTATATTCACCTTCCTTCGTGAGTTGTAGTTTTGCCACAGTTGCAACTATGAATAAATGATTGGGCAAAATCACGGTCTGAAAAGTTGACTTTTCCCAAGTTATCTTTCCATGTGTTATCAGTAATATTTTGAGAATGGGCTGAAAGAGACACCAAGCTTCATATACTTTCCTAAGAATTAGTTTTCATCAGTGTCTGCCTAAAAGAATTCATGTTGTGATTTGTTAGTATAGGCGCTGTTTTCATCTTTTAGACCATAACAGAAGTAGCTGAGCCTTTTTTTCAGCCTCTGCAGTGTAGGAGTTGGTGTTGGGTTTAGAAATAGGAGAGCTGGATTCAAATCTTTACTTGGCCAGAAGGTTTATTTAATACCTTGTTCTAACTTTTGTAATAGAGGCAAGCCCACCATGCTAACTTAGTTGAAAATAAAGAGAGCATTGAAATATAATCTATTCCCCCCCAATATAAATATTATGGAATAGCTGTGCAACTGTGGTCTGTCCCCTTTTACTGTATTAATCAGTCTATGTTAAATCCTTGCTAATATCACTTTTCTTTCATTTGTGGCTCATGAGTGGAAGGTAGCTGGTGAAAAATAGCAAGGGTGATATCTTGTCATAGTGATCAAAACAGAAGTGCGTACTAGCCACCCAGCAGAAATGCATACTAAGGTTTTGAAGGCTATGATTAACAGCCTGTGGATTAACTTCCTCTCCCTCCAAAATGTTGTTAATTAACTAAATCCCTAAATGACTTTGTGTGGTATGTATGTCATTCATTCATTCATTCATTCACTCATTCATTCATTCATTCATTCATAGAGCAGTAGTGCCAGAGACTATTGCAAGATGACATTGAACACGGTGCCTTATATTCATTCTCTCAAGTATTAATTTGCAGAGCAGAAGCACCGAATGAGCTATCTGTCTGGAATAGTGAGTAAAGTAGATGGAGAGGGAACCCTGTGTCGGTTCTAAATGAAGCTTGGTACAGTACAATGCAACAATAATTTAGAAAGCTTGTATATGTTCCAAATAAAGATTCACCAGGCACTCCTAGCAAGGGCATTCTGGCTTTGTTGTTTCAATCAAAGGTCATCCCTTGCCTTATTTTAATTAGTTTGTGTAGAAAATGGTATGTTTTTCATCCGTTCATTTTGGAGATTACTTTTCAAACGATAATGCCAAGAATAGTCAATGTGCATTGAATTTATTGTCGAGTATCAAACTAAAGGTCAGAGCATTACAGATAAAAGGATGCTATTTTTCAAATCGCCGTTTGTGTATTACCAAAAGGGGATCCTGAATTGGCTATCCCAATTTGTTTTACTTAATAGCCTCTATCTTCTTCTTTTTCCTTGTCTCCTTTTATTTTCTTTTGTAGCAGCAGCTTCAAGAATTTTATAAGAAACAGCAGGAACAGTTGCAGCTTCAACTCCTACAGCAACAACATGCTGGAAAACAACCTAAAGAGGTACTGTTAAAATCCATTTTTACTTGCAATCTAGAGATAATGAATGAAAGTATAGCAGCTATTTAAAAAATCCCTTTATCTGGTAAATTTGTCCTTTCACAGCTTAGTACAATATAAAGGATAGTAACTTATTTTCTCATGGCCCACTTTCCATATAGACATCTTTTGGCTGAATGATTAATTAACATGCCCAAAGTAGTTAAGATAAAAAAAGTAAAATAAACTTCCCCAGCCCAGTAGGTCACATCATGCACATATAACTTGGTGAAAAGAACCAGAATTTGCCACCCTTCAGGAACTGGATGGAGCTGGATTTGCATTTCCTTTCTCTGCCAAACAGTTGACTGAAAAATTCTAGCTTTTTTTTTTTTTTTTTTTTTTTACTAAATCACACATGTGCAGCTTTGATTCCTACAGGTGCAACCTGTTGGAGGGGACCCATTCATTGCAACCCTGAAAAAATGTGGGGTATTTTACCCCAACCAAGGATGCATAAATCCCAATGCTTTGTACTGTTCTTTCTACTCCTTTTTAGAAAGTCTGATGCTAAATGTGTTCATGGAATCCAGTGGTTTCATCTACATTACAGTTTAAACATTATGACAGAAGAATTCAGCCCCATACATATATCTAATATAAAAAGAGCAGAGTTTGCTTTGTGCCTTTACAATGCTCACTTGGTCCTTACCCAAATGAGTCCAAGTACCCCTACCATGGATACTTGTGTTTCATGCTTATTCCATGAACAAAGATGGTGGTATCTCTTCTCACAGGGATAGGAATCACTGCTCTGTTTTAATATTTTAAACAAATAAAAGCAGCATAAAAAATCAGTTTCGTGTATTTTATTCTTGCTGAGTGTTTAAAATGATCAGAGCTATCTCAGTCTTGGAAAATTGTCTCGTTTTGAAGCAACCTTAGATATTTTTAAATAACGGAATGAGCAATTCTAAAGTCCCTTTCGTTTGGAAGCATATTGGCACTTTAATATCTCTGCTTGTAATCCTTTTACTTCTTGCCAAACAGCTGCACTTACCTACCTTTAGATAGTTCCAGGAGATACTGTACTTCTCTTGGAGCCCATTAGGGCATCTACAGGGAGAGAAGATAAAGGATGATGGACAGAATTTGCTGAAAGACAGTTTATGTGCCATTACCGTTATTTTGTGTCATATCTGCAGAGTTTTGTCTGGGCATGTATACAAGACAGAGAGAAAAGCCTAGGAGGCACCATATTTTCTCAGCAGGAAAACAATCATACTTATTAAACTAGCTAGTTCTCTTTATAAACTGACTGTGGGTCCAGGATTGTTCTTCACATTCAGCTTTATGTAGGTTTCACGGCAAAGAAGTCCAAGTCCTCGACATTTGAGTGATAGGGATAAAAAGGATTCTGAGATATAGAGTCTTTCATTGCATCGCTGCAAGCTGGAGCTCAAAAAATTGGTTAAAGGAAGTGTTAGCTATTTAGAGAGAGGCTTTTTTAGTATAGGGTGGGAAATTCAAATAATCACAGTTGCCACTTGAGGAGTCGTTTATTATCAGGAAATGCTGCAACCCTGAAGAGGTGCAACCCATACATACACATACATACGTACATATATACATACATACATATTGTTGACAAAGAGTTAAATGGGAGACTAGAATAGCTATTTTGAGCTTCTTTTGCTCTCATCAGCTAGTCATATCCTCTATGGGATTCAAACATAGAGGGTATGGCTAGCTGATGAGAGCAAAATAAGCTCAAAATAGCTATTCTAGTCTCCCATTTAACTCTTTAACTCTTTGTCAACAAAAAAGAAATTTGGATTTGTAATGTATCGCAGTAGCGACTTGAGCCTGCTTAATGCCCCTAGTTTGGGGGGCTGCAAGGCAAAAGTGATTATAAGTAGAACTGCAGTATAGCAGTCAAAATACCAAGGTGCATCAATCAGACTGGTCTGTCTGGAAAAAACCTTCAGTGTGTGTGTGTGTGTGTGTGTGTGTGTGTGTGTGTGTGTGTGTATGTATATATGTGTGTGTGTGTATGTGTGTGTATATATATGTTTTCTGAGGTTTTCGCGGGTATTTGTATGTAGGTCTTTGGTTATTCGGGTTTTCTCCCGCGTAAAATTGGAAGTGTCTTGGCGACGTTTCGACGAAGTCCCATTCGTCATCTTCAGGCTGGTGTTTTCAGCTTCGTGCTTCGTGCTCCTCGAAGCACGAAGCTGAAAACACCAGCCTGAAGATGACGAATGGGACTTCGTCGAAACGTCGCCAAGACACTTCCAATTTTACGCGGGAGAAAACCTGAATAACGAAAGGTGTGTGTGTGTGTGTGTGTGTGTGTGTGTGTGTGTGTGTGTGTGTGGAAGGTCTATTTATAGTGGACACTAAGCTAAACACAGACTTGATGGGACAATCAATCAACTTCTGGAGAGCCAAAGATATCATCTCTATCTTAAATGTTCACAATCTGCTCAGTCTGTTCTAGGGAGAAAAATAAAGTTCAAATAGATTTCTACAACTATTATAACATATGATGGAATTCATAAAGTCTTTGTTGTAGAAGGTGAATAGCAAACATCCATGGATTGTGAGATGTTTTGTAATTTATGCATCCCTTGGCTTATTCTGCCCAGGTATGGAACTATGCCTTCTTCTGAATTTTGTATCTGTGATGGACTTAATGAAGGCCACAATCTGCTGCTCAGCTATGGCTCCAGGGAGGATCTATGCTGTCTGATTGAGGTCAGCAGTGTGTGCTGCCCCCAGAAGTATGCTTGGAATCTTTGTACCTACATTTTCTTAAGTATACCTTTGACAATTCTATTGCCTAGTAAAGATGGAGACCGGCCATGAGATTTTACCTTGGGACTAGCTTTATTGTTGTTTTACTCTTTTGGAGATTCTCCTTGGAGATTCTTTGCATGCTGTTCAAAGCAATCTGATTGGGGGATATTAGATAATGAAATAAACCCATCGATCACTTTTTGCTCCTTATGTGGGAGAAAGACAACGACAAGAATGTTTTCTATTGTTCTGGGCTATAGGTGAACCAGAATCTTATTTTTCTCTCCCTTTTCTCTCTCCATCTATGGCTGTCACCTAGCTTGTTGGCCATTGAAATGGGAGCAGTACTGTCTTATTTTGGGACAGACCTTGCCAATCAAGGGATACATGCCCTCAGAGACTATTCTTCCCCCCACATACTGTTTTAGACTGCCAAGGACTACTTGAAGGTTCACCTGCAAACTATCTTTACTAGAAGTATTAATATTTTCCATTCTTCTCAAGATTAATGGATCAAAAATTTCCTCACAAAGTATTTACAGGCAAAACCTTAATATGGAATATGCTGTTGATGGTATAGTTTTCCTTGTTGCAAAATTTGTGGGATACAGTGAAATCTTCCTTTCTAAATAAATTACAAAACATCTCACAATCCATGGATGTTTGCTATTCACCTTCTACAACAAAGACTTTATGAATTCCATCATATGTTATAATAGTTGTAGAAATCTATTTGAACTTTATTTTTCTCCCTAGAACAGACTGAGCAGATTGTGAACATTTAAGATAGAGATGATATCTTTGGCTCTCCAGAAGTTGATTGATTGTCCCATCAAGTCTGTGTTTAGCTTAGTGTCCACTATAAATAGACCTTCCCCAGGATGATCTGTCCCCAATCTGGCTGTTCAGGTTTTCCAAAGGTGCATCCATCCTTGTTGAAGACTCATCCAGCCAGCTTTTACTCTTTCCTTCTATCTTTCCAATCACTTTAGGCCTTACCACAATACTGGGTCTTTGCATAATGCATCCCAAATATGATAATTTAAGCCTAATTGTTTGTGTCTCACGTGAGAACTTTCCATTGATTTGTTTTCATAACTCACTTTTTGTTTTGTTTTCTTGGTTACCTGTGATGTTCAAGTTCAAGAGCATCAATACTGTTTCTGTCCTGCTTTTTGAGAGTCCAGCTGTCACTTCTGTAGAGTGTCACAGGGAAAAACCATTGCCTGTGTGCTTCTCATCTTTGTGGAAATAGACATGTCACAACGTCTTTTCCAAAGCCTTCATTGCTATGCTACTGATAGCTCAGGTATAATTCCCTGCCTTATGCCTATGCTATGTGAGACTGTCATAAGTTGTAGTTAATTGACTTTTAGATTATGGTAGATTACATAATTTCAGTAGAAAGTACTTGTATTGTGGCTTCTATAGCCCTAACCAGCTCCATCATTTGTCATTTAGGATAGGTTTTTGAAGGAATGATGTGCCCATCACATCAGGCAAGCCCCAGTTTGGGGTTACCTAGATGGGTGTCCTCAGTTTGGTTGTATTATCACACTTGAATTGGCCCTGTGTTTATGTGGTAATTGCAATGAAGCATCCATTCCCATGTTGCTCCTTCCATTTCCTTGGCCATCACCAAATCTGCTCCCGTTGCAATGTGGAAAATTTAAGTTTTAAGCCAAGTGTGAATTTTACAGCTGAGTTATGAAATCGGGGGGGCTATAATAGGAAATGCTGACACAAACCTTAACAAGAGCCTGCTAACGGGCTCCACTATAATAAAAAAGGAACAGATTAAAAAATGTCTAAAATGTAAATCTAAAGGACTAAGAGTAATTAAAATGGAAATGGCACAGGGAGGGAAGGCATGTAATTGTGAGATATCACTGTGCAGAATGCTCTCAGCTTTGTTTTGCTGGCTGTTTTTCTAATTCAGTAGGGCTTACTCATCAGTGGCAGTTCAATGCGCGTTAATGACTCTGGGATGCAAGCATCACTCTGGACAAAGAAATGATTATTGTGCGGTCAAAAGAAGTTCAAAGACAAGAAGGGAATTTCAGTTTTTCCCTTAGAGATCCACATTCAAGAGCATATAAATTAAGCCAAATGTTAAAAACCACAGTCTGAAAGCTGACTTCAAAGTCACAACTCTCTAATTAATGAACTGCGAGCTTCAGTTTGGACAAGTTGTGGTTTGATGTGCCCATAAATCAACATGACAG